TCTCTCTCTCTCTCTCTCTCTCTCTCTCTCTCTCTCTCTCTCTCTCTCTCAGGACTGAAACATGCTGAGATCAGTATAAAATTAAGACCATCATTTTCTACAGGATTTAATTTGAACATATTTAAAAATACCACTTTGATCCAAACAGACATGGTTGTTCAAACAGACGCTTGTTTTCCTCTTCGCTGACAACAAACTGTCCTTCTGTCCCTTCAGAACAGGATCCGGTCCACGAGACACCGTTTCTCACAGACCAGCAGGAGGAGCTGTTAGAACAGCCTCCGTGGATCAAAGAGGAGCAGGACGAAGCAGAACCTGTGGAGATCAAAGCTGAGGAGGAGGAGCTCTGCACCGGAGAGGAGGAATATCACCTGGTGACCACTGTACCTGAGGACTACAGTGAACCAGAACCAGACAGGGACCAGCTCACCTGTCAGAGTCCTGCTGGACCCAGGGACCAGGACCAGGATTCGGGGTCAAATGAAAACGAGGATCAGTCACCAAAGAAGACGGAGCGCACAGCCTGTTATCACGGTAATGAAGCAGACCAATCAGAAACATCTGACAGTTTGTTTTCATGTAAAACCTGTGAGGACAATTCTCTCCTGATCCGTCACGTTAAGGTCCAGAAAGTTCTGAGTCCAAACTGGATCAGACCTCAGTACCYTCGTCCCACGTCTGCTGAAGTGTGTGTGTGTTGTCGCTGTGAAGGAGGCTAAGCTAATAAGCTAACCGGAAATCGTGTGTGCTGTAAACAACCCTACTGAGAGGAGAAATACCCCGAGCCGAACGAGACGACTGTAAATGAGAGCTGCTGCTTTGTCAGATAAATTTATTTTAATTTGAAGTCTTATCAACACAGACTGGCTTCATTCACTTCCTCCACTGCTGTATGCTAAAATAACTAGCAGACACTGTGCAGAAAATCGACGTGGTTCAAAACTCCTCCTTCTGTTTGCTGATTGGTCCAGGTAAAATAAACTACAAGCAGACACTGCGCAGAAAAACGATGTTCTGTTCTCTGATTGGTTCGGCTAAAAATCTACCAGTGAAATCCTCGTCAATGGGAGAAGTCCCAGACGGAGAATAGAATTGAGAAACTAGAACTGAGCAGAGCTGCGTGGGAAGGAAAGGGCCAGGCTAGCTCAGCGTAGCATTGGACCATTTTATATACTCAACAACAAGCTTTATAAAATCACATGAATATCACTTCCTTCCTCAGAATATCCAAAGTGTTTAAAATGAAAAGCTAACACAGCGTTGACGCTAAACAAAGAGTCATTTGTTTACAGTATAATAAACCATTTTACAGACATCAAACTAAAGCCACTGACAAATATTTCCACAGGACTTCCATCAGAAACAGGGCTAGAAATAAGGATTTGTTTCAGGTTGTCCAACAGACAACCTGTTGACAAAATCTGGTTGTTTCTAAAACATTTTGGTTGTCCAAAATAATCTCAATAAAAATGTAATTTAATAAGTATATTGTTCTGTATACAAAGTTTAGTACTGTATGTACAAATGTTCTCAGCAGGTTGACAGTTTCAGGAGCTGCTTGAGTAAAACTTCCTCATCCTCTTCTTTAGAGAGCAAAAATCAATCAGCTTTCTGCTTACAGGTCAAATATTTTCATTTAAATAAGAGTACACTGTGTACATGACCTTATTAAAGTTACAGTTTAGTGTTCTTGGGACTGAAGACTTTCTGAGGAAAGAGCTTTTTAAACATCTTTTCTACCATTTAAGTGTTTTCAGCTGAGGAGCTTTGATTTATTTATTTAAAAACATAACAGGAAGTTCTCTGCACAGGAAAAAAATATTTATTTTTACTCTTTTTTTTAAATGAACTGACAAGTTTCTCCACTAAAATGATTGGCATTGAAACACCTGGTTAAATTTAAAAGATATTTATAATTAACTACAAACACATGAAGCTGACTCAGAGAAATCTTTGATTTTAGAAAAAAGTAAAAGTCAAACTTAGACACATCTTTAAAAGTCCCCCCTTCCTCCACTCCACCCACGTGTGATTAATACGGATATTTTTTGCACAAATTACTGATTTTTGATGCTCATTATGCAGGTAACCGTCTGCAGGGGTTGACATGTGGACCTTTAAGTCCCGGGCTGGTCGGAGCTGCGCTGCAGGTGGACAGGTGCAGCAGCTGCCCCTCGCTTTAAAACCAGTCAGGTGATCTGTGGCGGTTTTGTTGTGCTCGTGAACACACAATGTTAGGGTGGAAATGCTGCGAGCTGCTTTTAGAAATATAATATATATAAAATACGACGTAATCCTCGGTGGAAAATAGTCCAGGAAACGCTGAGGGCTTTCCTGGGAGGTGTTCAGCTGAGCTGAGTGAAGCTGACCCCCCACCCACAGAGAGAGAAAAAGGCAGCYCTGTCAGTCAGACGGCACGACCCGCCCTGCTCTGWTCTGATTGGATAAAACTTTGARTGTGMTTCWCTTTATTGGGTGAAAGAACCGTCAGTTTAATCCCTAGACGGCTTCAACAAGTTTTTATTCTCCCGTTCATTTTTACACTGATGAAAACTTTAATCTGGGTCTTTGTTTCTTGGTCGTCCATCAGACCTGGTTGTCTGAAACAACAATAGTTTGACTCAGACAACCTAAACGATGGTTGTCAACTCCTGATAAACTTATAAGTGAAGCTAAACAATGGGACTAACTTCTTGTTTACAGCGTGGGAACAATGTTGCAAACAGCAAAAGAGTCATTTATGTTCATGTGTTTGAATAAAACTTAACATAACAAAATGAAACTTCTACAGGTAGCACATATAAGAAATCTGCTGAGTCAGCAACATGTGACCGACCTTCTGCTGCAGGGCCATCACCAGTCCTGGACCAAGGCGAGGGTGTATATCCGGCCCCCCTGCGGGTCGGGGCTGTTCTTCTTTCTGCAGATGTGATTGTGTTGGGTGCCAGCTGAGCGGCAGCTGTGTAACTTATCACTTATCGTTGTGGAAGGTGACGGCGCTTTCATCCGGCCCCGGGAGGAAGGGTCTACGGCGGCGGCTCAGGACCAGAGTCGGGAGTCCCGGAACCCCTGGTCCCACCTGAAGGACTACTTCGTCTTCACGTCCCGGGARGAGAGCAACGCCCGGGTCCTGTGCTTCCGCTGCGTCATGTGTCGCCCCAAGGACATCACCATCAAGGGCCAGGTGAACAGCTTCTACAACCTGAAGTCTCACGTCCGGAGGAAGCACCCGGCGCACGCCGCCCAGTTCGAGGAGCGCGTCAAGGCCGGCTCGTCCCGCGGGAAGCACCGCCGCTGCCTCGCCGGCCAGGAGCCGCCGCCGGGCGCCAAGAGGGCGCGCCACCTGGGCGAGGCGTCGGCCCCCAGGGTGGACCCACGCATCGTGGAGCTGTTCGGAGACGACGCCCTCTCGCTGCACGTCGTGGAGACCCCCAACTTCATCGGCCTGATCAAGATGCTGAACCCCAACGAGACGTCCACGTCCTGCGGCTCCATCATGGCCGGACAGAAAGAGCTGCAGGATTATCTGACAAGGTATTTATTCCAACTCTACGAGTTCAGTCAGTTTCATAACGGTCTTATTTAATGTAATAAATGTGTTATAACTGAAATAAAGGTGTAAKAGAGCTGACGTGCCTTTGTTTCTGTATCTGGACCGACGAGGAGTGAACCCTAACTGTCTGCTACAAAACCATCTTCATATAAAACAACTGGTAATATTCTGTTTATAACATGGTAATAACACACAAACTGTTGCACATTCATTTGTTCACATGATGTGAAACTCTCAAAACGTTTCATTGATCAAACCTTCGGCTGCTGTGTGCCACCACTTTCTTCACACACTGAAACTTCTGCAGACGTTTAGCTTTTTTAGCCACTTTTTATTATAAATTAATGAAGATTTTATCAGCTTCCTTAAAACGTCAAATTTTTATTTTTGTTTTGTTTGTTTTTTATGAATTTTTTTAATTTTTATATTTTTGTGCTAAGTTTAGCTTCTTTTTAAAATTTTATTTTATTTTATTTTTCCTGATTTAAAGCTTTTCTCTGGTCCTTTTTGCTTCTTTCTTCTGTTCTCCTAATTTAAACCTTTTCGTGCTTTATTATTGTAGTTTTGGCTGTTTTGCTGCCTTCTAAGCCAGAGGTTCTCAAACTGGGGTCCCAGGACCCTCAGGAGTCCGTGAGCCGTGTCTTGGGGGGGGTCCTCAAAAGATTTCAGTAAATTGTTGATTTGGTTTTTATTTTTAAAAATGCGTATGGGGAAAATGCACAAGTAAAACAAACACACAAAATCAAACAAAATAAAATGTCATGGCATTTAGGGGTTAAAATAACTAAATTATTTATCATTAACAGGGTGGGCTTTATGAGGGGGTCCCTGGAAGTTTTTCACTCTTGTAAGATCCAAAAGGTTTGAGAACCCCTGTTCTAAGCTACCTTTCAGCTAATTTTAGCTTCTTTTTAATGTAGCTTTAAATGATAATTTCTGGTTTCTGCTTCTTTTAGCTAATTTCAGCTTCTTTTAGCTACTTTCAGCTTTTTTAGCTAATTTCAACTCTTTTAGCTAATTTCAGCTTTTTAAGCTAATTTCAGCATTTTTAGCTAATTTAAACTCTTAGCTACTTTCAGATTTTTTAGCTATTTTCAGCTCTTTTTTAGCTAATTTAAACTCTTAGCTAATTTCAGCTTTTTTAAGCTGATTTCAACTCTTTTTAGCTAATTTCAGCATTTTTAGCTAATTTCAACTCCGCTAATTTCAACTATTTTTAGCTAATTTCAACTCTTTTATCTACTTTCAGCTTTTTAAAGCTAATTTAAGCTCTTTTTTAAGCTAATTTCAACTCTTTTTAGCTAATTTCAGCATTTCGTAGCTATTATCAGCATTTTAGCTAATTTTAGCTTTTTAGCTAATTTCAACTCTTTTAGCCAATTTCAGCATTTTTTTGCTAATTTCAACTCGGCTAATTTCAAAATTTTAAGCTAATTTCAACTCTTTTAACTACTTTCAGCTTTTTAAAGCTAATTTAAGCTCTTTTTAAAGCTAATTTAAACTCTTTAGCTAATTTCAGCATTTTGTAGCTATTATAGGCATTTTTAGCTAATTTTAGCTTTTTAGCTAATTTCAGCTTTTTTAGCTAATTTTAGCTTTTTTAGCTAATTTCAGCTCTTTTTTAGCTAATTTTTGCTTTTGTAGCTAATTTCAGCTTTTTTAGCTAATTTCAGCTCTTTTTAAGCTAATTTCAGCTCTTTTTAGCTAATTTCTGCTCTTTTAAGCTAATTTCAGCTCTTTTTTTAGCTAATTTCAGCTCTTTTTAGCTAATTTCAGCTCTTTTTAAGCTAATTTCAGCTCTTTTTTTAGCTAATTTCAGCTCTTTTTTAGCTAATTTCAGCTCTTTTTAAGCTAATTTCAGCTCTTTTTTAGCTAATTTCAGCTCTTTTTAAGCTAATTTCAGCTCTTTTTTAGCTAATTTCAGCTCTTTTTAGCTAATTTCAGCTCTTTATCTAATTTCAGCTTTTTAGCTAATTTCAGCTTTTTAGCTAATTTTAGCTTTTTAGCTAATTTCAGCTCTTTAGCTAATTTCAGCTCTTTTTAAGCTAATTTCAGCTCTTTTTTTAGCTGTCTTAAATGACAACTTTTCTTCTAATGTGAACATTCTTTGTCCTGTTTACCATCTGTCCTCTAAACTGAACTTGTTTCTGCTGTTTTTAGCTACATTTCAGTTTTTCTACTCATTTTTACTTTTTATGTTTCACAGATTTTCACTGTTGTCTTTGTTCCTGCCTCCACATAAACACTTRAGCTGTTAAACATTTCATCTTCTTCAGCAGCTTCCAGTAAAACTCTCTCAGCTTGAATTATTCATTTAACTTTCGGCTGTGAGCACCGAGCCTCCTCTGGGTTTTTGGTCTCCAGGACTTAAAATAAATTTCTGTCCAGATGATTAAAAYTTTATTAAATCTGATTTGTTTTGTCTTTTTGTCCTTTCAGACCTCCAGCAGGAACCGGTCCACAAGCCGGAGCTGGTTCTGACAGACCTGCGGCTCTGCAGCCAGAGGAGGAAGTGCAGCCTGGACCAGAAGGAACCAGAACCTCCACAGATTGAAGCAGACCAGCAGCAGCTCTGCAGAGGTCAGGAGGCCGATCCGMTCATGGCGACGAGGAGCATCTCTCTGAGTCCTGCTGGACCCGAGGACCAGGACCAGGGTTCAGGGTGGAATGAACAGACAGAACACACAGACTGTCACCACGGTAACAAGGCTGCAGCACCTGAGAGGCTGTTTTCCTGTAAAATCTGTGGAGAAACGTTTCTGCAGAACTCACTGCGGATCCGTCACATCAAGGTCCACAAAGTGTGGAGCCAGAACTGGGACAAGCTGCTGCACTGCTGTCCCACCTGTGGGAAGAAGTTCCCGTCTTACAGTCACCTGGTCACACACATGAGGGTCCACACGGGGGAGAAACCTTTTTCCTGCTTGTTTTGTGGCAAACGTTTTAATCAGACGTCCTCTCTGAACCGTCACATGAAGGTCCACTGAGGCTGAGCTGAGCTTCTGTCCGTCTTCATGTCTGCACATTTACTTTCCACTAACAGCTCATTTAAAAACTATGCAGCGGATCTTCATACGTTTGTTTATTTAAAGGCCAGAAGTGTTTCAGTGCAGATGCAGGTCATCAGTTTGAGTGTTTTTGTTTGTTTTTGACATTGTTCTGTGTTGGTTGTAAGAATGTTTCCTGTTTCTGTGACACTTTGTTCATAAAGGTGTCAGGTCCAAATGTGACGTGATGACACAGATTTTATTTTATTTTAATTTGTTTCACCTTCTTAGTTCAGAGGGTCAGAGCTTCACTGTTGCAAACTGATGAAAAAGGAATAAAGATTTTGGTTCCTTCCAAGCAGAAACGGGTGGAAGTGATTTATTTTACAGTGTTATTGAAGGTCCTCTCCTCTCCAGTCATCCAAAGTATGTAACAGACGTATGACAAAAGAATAAATATTTGTGCCAAATTTAAATTAAATACTGCAAGTATAAATAAAWAAATAAAAATACTTTCTAAATGCTGCATTAAAAACTTTTCCTGGTCCTCCGCGCCGCCTGGTGGCGCTGCAGATGTTTTCGAGCCGCGAAGAAGAATTGGCCATCATCACCTCTTTGTGGATTTTAATGAGTCTTCGTTCATTTCAACCTATTTTTTAAAACGATGTCTTCAGTTCCGCATCTTAAAGACTTTATCAGAGACCGGCTGACAGCTGCTGCTGCAGAAATCTTCTCCGAGTTTGAAAAAACCATCCTGCGGTACGAAGAGGAGATCGACCGTCAGCGCAGACTGCTGGATGTCAGCTGCTGGAGACCCGAACTGAAGCTGCACAGAGTCGGTATGTAGCTCTGAGAACAACCAGCAGCTCGTTTAGTCCCAGTTTACATACAGAAAATAAAGCAGGAAGCTACAAACACAAAGTTACACCGAGCAGAGAAACACGTTTGACATGCTAAGCTAGCGTTAGCTAACAGAGCTAATGGATGCTAACAGCTAAAAGGTAACAAGATCCTGTCTGAACATTAGTTTCATATTTAATCTCCTTGTTGTTCTTTCAGACCTCCAACAGGAACCGGTCCACAAGACTGGGATTCTCAAGGACCAGCAGCTCTGCAAGCAGGACTGGATCTCCAGCCTGGACCCGGAGGGACCAGAACCTCCACAGTTCGAGTACCGGGAGGAACCAGAACCTCCACGCATCAAAGAAGAAGAGCTGGAGCTCTGCACCAATCAGGAGCAAGCTCAGCTCCACCTGAAGCAGGAGGCTGATCTGTTCATGGTGACCGTTTTAAATGAAAGTGAACCAGAACCAAAGGAGCAGCTCGTCTCTCAGAGCTCTGCTGGACCCGAGGACCAGGATTCAGGATTGATTGAAATCACAGACTGGTCACCGACGAGGATGGATCACGCAGATGATTCTCACAGGAACCAGGCGGGTCCATCAGCACCGTCTGAGAAGCTGTTTTCTTGTAAAATCTGCAGAGAAACGTTTTTGGAAAACTCCCTTCTGCTGCGTCACATTAAGGTCCACAAAGTCTGGAACCAGAACTCGGACAAACTGCTGTACTGTTGTCCCACCTGTGGGAAGCACTTCTCCTCCTCCAGTAAGTTAGTCACTCATGTCAGGATCCACACCGGAGAGAAGCCGTACTCCTGTGGCGTCTGTGGAAAAACCTTCAACTATAACTACACTTTGAAGTCTCACATGAGGATCCACACGGGGGAGAAGTCCTACTCCTGTCGGGTTTGCGGGGCCATGTTCAGCACTAAAGGAAGCTGCACTGTCCACCTGAGGCGGCACACCGGCGAGAAGCCTTTCTCCTGCAACTTCTGCGGGAAAACCTTCACGATCAACGGGGACTGCAAACGACACATGATGATCCACACCGGGGAGAAGCCGTTCTTCTGCAAGATCTGCGGGAAAACCTTCAATCGGACCTCACATTTGAACCGTCACATGAAATCTCACACGGGCGGAGAAACCTTTCAGCAAATGATCTAGGAGAAAYTTTCAGGATGTGGAGGAAAAGTTATAAAAAAGCCTTAAAGCTTCGAGTCCTGTTGCGCCAAAATTGCACTTCCTGTTTCTGGAACACTTGTAAACACAGAAACATCCAAAAATTGTGCCTAAAAACTCATAAAAATAACATTTCTTCAATCAAACATTTAACAAATCAAAAAGTAAATGAGTTGCACTAAAAGGCGTAAACATTTAATTTAACAAACTTAAATCGGAGTAGGAGGCCGGTTGTCACACACAAAAGCTAAAACAGGAAGTGTGTGTGTGAGGGGAGGTTTGGTGGGTTTTTTAGAACTTATGACCTAAAAATAAAAGTTTTACCCAGCAGATGAAGCGTATGAGCTCAGTTATAGGCTGTAAATATAAAATAATGTAAATATGTTGTGAAACTTTTTATACGTTTTTGTCCAYTGTGAGTTGAAATGATGCTCCAACGTGTTTCAGTCTCATTTTCTGTAAAGTAGCATCTGCTGCGCTGCTCACAGTTCTCATAAAARCTCTTAAATGTTGGCTTTTTAAAAAATATTCTTGTTACGACCTGGATGGCTGAGAGTTTAAACATTTGTAAATCTGTTCTGTTTCTGCGTTTTAAGTCTTTCTGTGCTTGAATGAACATAAACTCTGCAGGTGCTGTATGTGTCACYACACAGATCTGTATTTAAATTAGCTGATTTTAAATTTATTTATCGTCTTTGTAAAGATGGTCAAACCGTCATTTCATTATAATATTCTGCTTTTATATTATTGTGTCCTAAAATTTCTAAATGTTGCAATAAAGTACTTTAATGAATAATTTTTTGTGTTAAAATGTGATCCTTCATGATGTTTTCTGCCACAATTAAGCCCATGAAGAAGAATCAGCTGCATTACTGGGAAGTTATTTAGTTGTGTTAGTTAAATATGAAGTTTTTAATTAAGTTTTACTTTAATACAGTTTTAATAAAATGTATTCAGTTCAGGATCTGAGAGATGTTACTAAAATAAATAAATGAAAGGTGCAGTTCCAGTTTTATGCTGTAGGTGGCGGCAGCGCCTCTTCAAACGTCGGTTATGAAACCGGAAGTAGATTGAATAAACAAACTGGTGGAGGCTTTGATTAATTTGTATTAATCCAGTAGATAATCTACCATCTTTATAATATTAAGAGAAAACCGTAACTCTAAAAATTAAATGTATAAATATATAAGATAGCTAACACAAGCCAGCTACACTGCTCAATTAGCTTTCTGTTTCCTAGCAACAGACCGGAAGTCAAACTCGGAGCAGCAGATGCTAACGCATGCTAACAAGCTTAGCAGCACCGAACCGACCGTGTTTCTGGGTTTGATTCGCCGCTCGTTTGGTCGGTGAGTTTTCACGGGATGTCAGAGGAGGCTCGACGCGGGGAGGAGGAGGACCGCGGGCCCGGTTCGGTCCATCAGGTGTTTGTGGTGATGGAGAACCTCCTGGAGAAGTTGAAGGTTCTGAACTACGAGGAGGAGGTTCTGTCCAAACACAACATGAAGAACCTGTCCAGGTGAAAAACAGAAACAGTTTTGTGTTAATTTTAGCTACTTTTTTTCTAATTGTGTCTTTTTTCTGCTATTTCAGCTACAATCCTGCTTCTTTCTACTATTCTTCTGCTTTTTTCTGCTACTTTTAGCTGTTTATGCTTCTTACAGATGTTTTTTCTATTTTCATCCATTTTCTGCAATTTTAGCTAAAGTTCAGCTGCTATTAGCTAAAGTTAGCTGTTTTAAGCTAAACACATTTTAAAGCTAATACATGTTATTTATGTAAACGTGCTCCTTATGCTTCCTTGTGCTCAAATAATTTTCAGCAACATTTTAGCTGTTTTACAGAAAATTTCAGCTGTTTTAGCTATTTTACTACAAAATGACACTTTTTTGCATTTTTTTCTGCTAATTAAAAAAACACAACTTTCACCGTCAGGGTGTTGATCACAAAGTGTGGCTGCTACATTTKAATTATTTTATGCTAATTTTAGCTTCTGATGTTTTCTACTTTTTTGCTAATTTGTTATTTATGTTTCTTACAGATGTTTTCAGCTATTTTAGCTTTTAGATGTTTTCTGTTTTCAGTTAAATTTGTTCCTTTTTACTGATTTTCTGCAGTTTTTTTATTTCAGTTTTTCACAGTGAACTCACGTTAACTGTTGTTAAATATTCTCAGTTGAAGAGTTCACATCAGAGTTTTTCACAGGAAACAGTTTCTGTTGTTTTATGAGACGACTGTCAGTTTGAAACCTGATGTTACTTCTCCTCTGTCCTCCTCTGTCCTCATCTGTCCTCCTCTGTCCTCCTCTCCTCCTCTCTCCTCCTCTCCTCCTCTGTCCTCCTCTCCTCCCTCTCCTCCTCTGTCCTCCTCTCTCCTCCCTCTCCTCCTCTCTCCTCCTCTCCTCCCTCTCCTCCTCTGTCCTCCTCTCTCCTCCCTCTCCTCCTCTCTCCTCCTCTCCTCCCTCTCCTCCTCTGTCCTCCTCTCCTCCTCTCTCTCCTCCTCTCTCCTCCTCTCCTCCCTCTCCTCCTCTGTCCTCCTCTCCT